CACACACACACACACACACACACACACACACACACACACACACACACACACACACACACACACACACACACACACACACACACACACAATCCACTGGGTGGTGATTTTTGTTTTGTCCTCAGGCATCACCAGCAGCCCAATGGCTCCCTGTTGGTTGGTCCTCTCACCAAGTCGGACTCTGGTTGGTTTTTGTGCTTGGCCACTCGGGAGCGTGAGAGAGATCACCGCTACATCTACCTCTCTGTCTCAGGTGATGTCGTACATTTACACCGTGAACACATCGAGCAGTAGATTCATCATGAAGCATTTCCTGACGGAATCACCCCACAATTAAATCACACATGCATCTGCAGTCAGGCTTCTGATTAGAGAACCATTTTAGTCATGCAACTAAAAGATTCATTCACATTTTGCACTTCTGAAACTGTAGCTGTGCTGCTTGAAGGATTTTAAATATTTTCTTTTATCAATTTACAAGTTTGTAAAAATGATGACATGACATAGATACACATACGACAGTGCAGATAATTGTGTAGATTGCAGATTCAATCACTTGCTGTCAGTCAGATAATTGGGGCCAGATCCGGTCAAAACCCTAATTTGACCGACTCTAACCCCAATTAGTCCGTCACACGTAAATCCTGAAGACTGGGGAGAAGCTCTGATGTCACAGCTGAAGTCAGAGCATGCTGAGTCTGTTTGAATGTGTTTATTTGACATTGAGTAAGTGAATTATGACGGGAGCGCTCAATCGTCTGTATGTGTGTCACATAGTGTCTCAGCTGATTCCCACCTCTCTCCCCAGAGACGGTCCATTCCCTCGGTGAGAAAAATCTTCAGTAAATGTTCTTTCTATTGAACACAGAGTGGAGACGTTAAAACTCACAGACACATAAACACCAGTAGATGTGGACAATATCAGTATATCTCAATTTTTCTAATAATTTGTGACTCTATAAATAATTCCGGCTCCCCTGACCTTCTCCCTAAGGTTCAGTATTGACCGCTCAAGTCCGTCTTTGCTGGAAATGCGAGCAGGACAAACTGTCCAGCTGCCCTGCACCATCGTCCCCCTGTCAGCTCTGCAGTCTGTCAGCATTCAGTGGACAAAAGATGGACAGACCCTCACTGACTCCAGGTGATCACATGCAGCTGATGTCTTCAATAAGTGTGTGACATCTGGTGCAGTTTGATACAGTTGGTCCAGATGTGCACGTGGACAGAGGCTCTAACTGACTGCTGTGTTGTAGGTTTACCCAGAATTCAGATGGCACGCTGATCGCTGGCGGACTGAAGTCCGATGACTCTGGGGTCTACACGTGCACAGCCTCCAGTCTGCAGCAGCTGGAGCAGAGACAACTGCAACTCACAGTCCGAGGTGTGTCTCACAACATCCAGTTACTGACATGCACGTCAGTACTTTATGTTTATTAAGAGAAGCAGAGAGTGAAATACTGATGATGTAGTTTCACACCGCCACCAGCAGACAGCAGCAAAGCACATACACTTATCTCTACAACTTCCAGAATAATACGAACTGACATGTTAGTGAATCAAGTAAAAGAGAATAAATGTGATTTTATCTGTCCCCTGGTTTCATCGTCCAGCGGACCTGAAGATCACCACGGCCCCAAACAACATCCAGGTGCCTGAAGGCAGCACCGCTCTGCTCCCCTGTGTGGTGTCAGGAGACAACATTAATATCGGCTGGTCCAGGTACATGAACATTATGTGGCTGCAGGTGGAGGAAGTACCCAAACATTTGAATGAAGTACAGATGGATATGTTATCTAGTAAAAGTGATCGTACCACATTAACTTTACTACTTGAGTAAAACTAAGTTCTTTAAAATATACTTTTAATTATTAAAAGTAAAAGTACTTAGCCTACTCCCTTATGCAATAGTCTTCATTGTCCTTCATGTATAACTGTATATTTTGTTTGATACAACAACAGAACAGACCCTGTAGGTATATATGTAATAAAGAATGTTGCAGACTGAAAACACTTTTCATTAAGATATGAATCAATTTGAGCTGTAACTCAATACACTGTAAAAACATAGTGAAGCAGAAAGTACAGATATTTACGGAGTTAGAGTGAAAAGTACCTAAATACTTCTACATACCTAGCATCTTAGTTCTCTCATTTTGATCTTCAGTGTTTAAATTCAGAATCTGATGAAGCTCACGTTTGATTCACCAGAGAAATAAAACAGATTTCAAAGCTGCCATTGAAAAAGCTCCATGACTTCTTCTTCTTTTCTCAGAAATGGCGTCCCGGTGCGTCCAGACGGTCGTAACATCCTGAAGTCATCTGACGGCAGCTTGATCATAAACAATGTGAGGTCGTCGGACGAGGGCACGTACACCTGTAACGCTTACACTGGCATCTACTCAGTGAGCGCCACGGCTGAAGTGAGGGTCATTAAAGACATGCAACCAGGTGGGAATCAAAGTCTGAATCAAACATCTTCATGTTCCCTCACGTTCAGTCAGAAAATAATCATTATTTCAACTTGATTTACTTCACTGGAATAAACAAATAAATCATAGTTTATTGACACAACCTCCACAACAAGGTAACGCTGTGAGCTGCCATTTCATTCATCTTCATTATTCTGAATGGAACTGTTGCTGGAAAAAAGAAATGGAGATGCAGAGAGAAGTCAGACGTTTGCAACCAGGCTGATTAGATCACTTTGGAACAAAACAATCTTTTTTAGATAAGTCATCATATAAAAACTATCAGTCCTCTAAATGTGCCTGATTTCTTTCATCGAGATCCAATTATTCCCAATGAAAAACTTCATCTCATCTGATAATGTTAGAGAAAGTGATTGAAACGTTCCTGGATCCATGACCTCGATCTTTTCCCCTTCACATATCACATCCTTCAACCAAATTTCATTGAAGTCTGCTGGGTTGTTTTAATAATAACTCAGGAGCACCACACACAGTTCTGAGTGTGGATCTTATTTTATGAGGCACAGAAGAAGCTGAACGTGTCTGTGTGTCATCGTTGCCGTTGCAGGTGTTGATGTGCCGCCAGAATGTGTGGACCAGCCCGAGCTCGCCAACTGTGAGCTGATCGTTTACGCCCGACTTTGCTCCAACTCGTACTACTCCAGTTTCTGCTGCGCCAGCTGCACCAGGCACTCACAGAAAAACGACAGGTTCGGTTGGCTGGGTTAAAAGCGCAGAGCGTTTAAAAAACTTTGGACCAGGCAGGTTTGTGCTCTGGAAACCCGAACTTTCAACTCTGAACTGCTGCATTTGCCAAAAGGACTTAAAACACTCATCCGACCAGGCTGTGCAGAGCCGTGCTTCAAGAATACAAAAGGGACTGATCACTCTAGGCGTAGTTAAATCTGTGGAGTAGGATTTCTACAGCTTTGTTCAGGGAGCCTTTAAATGTAGGAATGATCCTGTAACGTCTGTTGAATGTGACCAATCAAAACTCAGACTTTTTCTTTTGAAACATGTTTAACATTAAGTTATTGCTCACTGGTCTGACTTCATGATACACGTTCTCTGTTTTTAAGAGAACCTTACAGCTGATGCAGGATTTAACATATTGTGAAACTCCTCCATCCTCGCTGTAGTTTTAGCCACCATTTTAAAAACATTTCAACAATGCAGGAATTTGCTTTTCGTTGATTCTGGGACGCACCAGGAGCTCCGACCAGACTGTGTTTATTTTTATCTAATTATTTGATAATAAAATAATATTTTGATTAAAAAAACTTCCTGTTGGTTTGAATGAGCTGCTTGACCCCGTCACTTCTGGGTAAAACTTTTTCTGTCTCGAGACGTTGTTGTGTGTGTCTAAAAACAAAACGTGTTGTATTAATGTGTTTTGTGCATTTAATCAACACATTGACGCCTCTTTTTAATATTTACACGAAGAAGAGCAAAGTTAAACCTTAGTAATAAAAACATCTGTATTGGCTCAAAGTGTTGTTGAGGGATGGACGTACAGTTTGAGACAAAAGCATCATTTCCGACATCAAAAGCTGCTTTTCAGAGCTGATTGTTAATTAACGTTAATCGGTTTATAAGTGAAAACGTCAGCAACTTGGCAGCCCCTGTTTCAAAGAATGTTTGAAAGGGATTATTCTAAATGTTTTAACTGAATACTTTCTATGACATCACACAACATCCTTTTTGTTTCTAAAATTATTATGTACAGAAGACGACAAAAATGAGAGGATGAAGGTTTTTTGAAAGTAGGAGGAACGCAGGACGAGATATAATCATCAGACGTGGTTTTCTGTTTCCTGTTTACGTGACTGCCGAGAACACAAACGTGTTTTGCAAGGAAACAAACGGAGAAAGTAAAATGTGGACTTCAACGGTTTGAGTCCCACTGGAGACTTTACTGGTACAAAAAGATAAATGTGCACTTTGATGAGACAGAAGCTTTTACGCTAATTTGCTTTCAAACATACAGAAATGTATCACATGAAAATAGAATTTAAACACTTTCTAAATGAAATAATACGAACTGACATGATTGTGAATCCCCCCCCCCCATGTGTTGTCTGCAACATAACCCCTTCTAATGTGAACAGCTGTGTGTAATACAACTCATGCTGGTTGGTTGTGTAGCTTCAGTTGACACAGACGTGGAGGTTTTCCAGCTGTTTGCTCAGAGATGTGCAGAGTGGGTACGTGCAGAGAACAGGTGCACGCTCAGAGCCGGAAGTTGTGGTGAAGTGAGATGTTGCAGCTCTGTCATTTCTCAGCACAGAGAACGATCTGCAGGCTGCTCCGTGACCACATCCTCTGTTCTGCTGTCGCTCTCGACTCCTCTGCGCAGTTTCAATCCCCGGTTTGTCTTCTCACCAACAAAAGCTGTGTCCTTCTTTTGTGCTCAGAGGAGAACGACGACTTCCTGTTGTTGTGTGCTAGACTCACACTCTTCACATTTACTTTTCTGTACTACACTGCTGATGATTGTACAAAGTCCAAAAAGTAGATATGACTAACACAAACCCTTAAGCTCAAATGATTTAACAACAGTTAACAACAGCTCAGTCTTCAGTTCTCCTGCAGCAGCTGCAGCTTTGGTTCTGACCCGGCCCTTTGCTGCTTGTCCTCCAAACTATTTCCCCGACCTAAAGGCTCAACAGCCAAGAACAATCTTTTAAAAAGTCACTGTTGAATCATTTCTCAGTTTCCTCATTGGAAAAACCTGAACCAGCTTGTGACGTTTTCTAGAACTGAGCTGTTTCAACATGTGTAGGTGAAAAATAGGTGATTCTCAGAAAACAGGCTGGTTTGTGAGCTGCTAAAAATACCTCACACTATCTCCGGAAATGATATTTCCAGTGCTCATTGTAGAATGAGGTGCGACAGAAAAAGTGGTTTAACGGACAATCTCTTACAGAGAAATAAAGGCACATTATTGATTTGATCCCCTGAAAAAACTTTTATTGACAAAAAAAAATAAGCAAACAATTAATTCACTACCAAAAACAAATACGCAGAAAAATAAAAACCCTGATGCCAAACTATCTGCATGCCAGTCATAGATTTAAGTTTTTGATTAGAATAAGCAGAGAACCTGTTCACTACTTTGTGCAGAATTTCAATAGCTAATTTATAAATGAGTAAAAATACACTGCAACATTCAGCTTTATAGAAATATAGCCACTATGTTTTCAGTTTTATTTACATTAAGTCAAAGTTAATTTTCCTCTCCGCTCAGGTCTCAGTTCTGCTTTTCAGTTGAACTCTGCAACAGACACAAAGGAAACAGTTTCCTATGAGATGTCTTCATTTACATACTTACACATATGGAACCATTTTTTTGTCAGTCAATCAGAAATGTTATATTTAACAAACCTGGAGTCTCCAAACCAAAAAGGCCACGAAGGCTCCGTAGACGCTGCTCTTGATGATCAACACGCTGTAGGAGAGTTTGGCTTGACGAGTGATCCTCAGATATTTTTCTGAAGAAAGGTCAAACATTTAGATACGTGATTCAAAGAGGAAACATCCAGGGTACTTTGTAGARACAGTTGATGTGAGCAGCAGTGAGGTGAACAATGAATAACAGAATCATTTATTTACCTCTGGTCAGGATGTCTGGACCTGGTAGAAAAATAAGAAACGGATTAGACAAGAACAGAAGATTATTTACATGTTTGTCCAGATCAGGTTTAGGTCATGAACGAACCTTGTTCACCAGAGATTGAGTCGTTATAATCAGTATCATGTGTCCCATTGAAGAAGCGGACGATGCACTCAAAATTCCACTCGGGTTTGTACCAGTCTTCGGCAGAGACCTTCAGTCTGCTGGTGATTGTGTAGACTTTGTCCTTCCGCAGGGCAGCTTCGTCTGTTGTCACACCTCTGGTGACATTCACACCTCTGATGACATTCACACCACTGGTGACATTCAGTTGAATAATCTGCCAGTAAACACTGACATGGTCCGGGTAGAAATCACTGGCCACACAAACTAAGGTCTTCTCTCTTTCATTATCTATCGGGTTTCGACACTCTTTTGATGATGGTCTGAACACTTTCACTTTTGGTGACTTGACTGCCTGCCCTGGTTCTGCAAAGATAAAGAAATAAATTGATTCAATTCAGGATCAAACATAGATCTACAACAAACCAACGTACACCTAACTCAAAATGACATGTGACATCTTGATACAAGAAGTTAGATGAACATGACAACTGAGGTAAAACAGAGGATTAGCATCAAATACAAACCCGTTCTTCACAGGTTGGATAACTCACACTGAGAGTAATGAAGATGTAATTATCTTCATATACATGTTAGTTTGTTTTTGATAGTCTTACCTAGAACTGTGAGTTTGGTTCCCTCTCCAAAATAAGCAGGATAAGCTCCAGAGCACATCGCTCACTCACAAGTGAAAAACTGACAAGTGCGTACAATGCTGGATTTGTGAGTTTTTCACAAGCCGATTCACCAACAATACAATTACATCACATGTGCTTAACTTATGAACTCATTATTGTTATTTTTCACTTTAACATGCAAAGAAAGGCATCCTCTGAATATTTTACACCTTTAATATAATGTAACAGTGAGTTCAGTGGCTGAACTTAAAAAGACATATATGGATTTCCTTTTTACTTCAGAAATTTTACATTTTCTTTTGCACTTTTAAATGCAAACCTGCGGAGACTCACGAGACTGCTCCAAAACAAAGACATAGCACATTTAAGTTGAACGACACTTGTATATGATTTTTTTTTTTAATTGTCTTACCTAACACTGTCAGTTTAGTGCCGCTGCCAAAGTAAGCTGGGTCGTAGTTGTTCACACTGATACATGGCTACAGAGAAAACTGCTCAACCGTCCTGCACTGAAAGCTGCAGACTGTCTTTCTGCTCTTTCATCAGATAAACTAAAAACTGTTTTGTAAATAAACATTAAGAAATAAGACATTTTCACACTAAATAAAATTGGATACTAACAATTTTACACCTTTTGACTTGAGTCACATTTAAACCTGGTATGAATCAGTATCTCCAGATAAATGCTGCAGAATATTATATAGGTATTAATTCGTATTGTTTGAAATGATTTGAATTGTCTTACCTAAAACAGTGAGTTTAGTTCCAGATCCAAAGTAAGCCTCGCTGTACGAGCACAGAGACGCTCAACTGTAACAAAACCTCTTCCTCTCTTCTCTTTACCAATGTCACTTTGAAATTATTCCCACTTTTTTTTCACTTTGACGTGTAAAAACTCTGAGAGTTTGAGAGAAGACGTTTCACGTTGTGGTTATAGAATGATTATACTGTATATTCAGAGTATCTTAACTAAACTATACTTCAGCAGCATATGAGGAAGTTTTTTCTTACCTAGAACAGTTAACTTTGTTCCTCCACCAAAATATACCTCTGAAGAACCAGAGTCACAGTGAACGTGATCAGTGCTGAAAACCGCTTTACTTTGCCTCTTTACTTTGTAGTTTTTAAATAAAACCATCAGTTACACTCTGTTAAGTTTCACGCTGTTTGCAACAAACACCTCTCAGCTCCTGTTGGACTTTTTAACTCACCTAGAACAGTCAGTTTGGTTCCGTGTCCGAAATAAGCTCCGAGCGAACACAGTGTTTTACCTCAAGAACTTAAAGCTCTGAGTCAAACTCTAAAGAACTCGACTGTTGAAGAACAGATTAAACTGGATGTTTTCTTTTGTTTCTTTTTGCTCATTCTGACATCACAGACTGTACAGTATGTGTTTCTTACCTAAAACAGTTAACTTTGTTCCTTGTCCGAAGTGAGCTTCATATCCAGAGTCACAGTGAACTCCACCAGTGCTCAAAACAGCACAAACATGCAGCTTCTACTTTGTTCTACTTACTTCTACAAGTTTTATGCGGCAGAAAAGAAAATGGCTTCATTTAACATGTCTGCTTTATTTTGCTTTAGTGTTTAAGAGCTGAATTCATGAGAATAAAGTTTTACTCACCAAGAACTGTCAGCTTCGTTCCCTGGCCGAAATAAGCTTCGTTACTGACACAGCGTTAAAGCTTGTCGTCTAAAACCCACTGAGGTGAACTTAAACTGTCAAGACCTGATTAGGTTTCTTAATGCAGCATTTCAGTTACAAAGCTATTGAAGTTTTTCCATTTTAATAAATCGGACTCACCCAGAACAGTCAGTTTTGTTCCTTTTCCAAAGTACGCTTCGTT